TGCCCACAGCAGAGTCATTGGAGCAGTGGTGACAGTCCCATTGCCCTGAGCACAGCACCAGGGAGAGGACACACATAACACCACCTGGCATATCTGCCAGCGCTCACCCCAACCACTGCATAGGTTCACCATGGGTGGTGCCAGATGCCAGGTGACCCTGGCCAGGTTGATCCCTCTTCTATGGGGTCCTGCGTGGCTTAGTGGTCGCAGGAAGCTCAGCAGCACAAAGAAAACATGGCATGGGCTGAGCAACACCGCAGGCAGAGCTATGAGGGTGGGTGTGGGATATCCATCCCCTCCAGACAAAATCACTGGTGGGGCTGGAGGTGTGTGGGCTGAGCATCTCCATGGCAGAGCAACTGCTTTGGTGAAAGGGGAGGTGTTGTGTGATCAGCTGGAGAGACCCCGATACAAGCATTCTATACATTCAGATCACCAAGATAAATGCTGCACCATCTCCCTCCCTGGGCACCATGGGAACAGGGAAGAGGAGTGAGCGTTGACAAGTTCCCAGGCATTAGGACAACCAGGGAATAATGGGTATCATTGCCCCAACTTGTGAACCGGACAGATGCTGTCACCTGTCCCAGTGGGAGCGGCAGGCAGAGCTGGGCGAGTCCCAGCATTTCCATCCGGACACAAAGGGACCGAGGGCTGGGGATGGGCAGGAGAGGATATTTCTGCACGGCTGAGAGCAGCAGAGACACGGGGAAATCCCGACCCCCTCCACTGCTCCGAGGCTCCGTGCAGGCTACGATGCGGAGCAGCGGCGGTGCTGCCCGGCTTGGGCTGCGCTGTGCATCCCGGAGCTGCGGGCAGGGAGCGCCGCTGCGTGGGGACGCAGCTGCTGCTGCAGCCACCCGCTGCCTCCAGGCAGAAGCACTTGCTAAATTGTGCAGTAATCCCCCGTAGGACTCCTCAGAGCTGCGGGAGAGTGGATAAAACCGCAGGGTACAGCGCAGCCTGAGCACCTCTCACCCACAGCCTCTCTGCTACGAGGCACGCCACAGAGCTGCCCCAGAGCTGAGCAGAGGTACTTACAGAGATTTTGGTGAAGATGGACAGCAGGAGAGACAGCCCAGAGAGGTACATCCGGATCCTCTCGCCTCCAAACCTTCGCTGGAGGTACTCAGGCATGGTGACGATCTGTGGGAGGGGATGGGAGCCGTGGCTGTCCCCATCCTGTCCCCATGTCACCTTCTCTGTGAGGTGGCAGCATTCTCAGTGCAGGGTTCAGGGGATGTTCCTGAGATTAGGGTAGATCCACGTACCCCAGATGAGATGTAGACTGGGACGAAGACCCAGGCCAGCACCAGCAGCGCATATGTGGCCTGTTAGGAAGGAAACACACAGCGCAGTCCCATTCACTGCACCTGCCCCAACCCCAGCTCCCCCCTTCACACACATTTGTTTCTCTAAGTGGCCCCAAACAGGAGGTGCAAGTGTGTAAGATCACAGCGGAGACCACCCAGCACCCTGCCAACAGGACCCTGCCCCCCTCAGCCCTTCATCTTCAGAAGCATCCCAACACCACCTCCTCATGTGCCATGGTTTTGCTATAGAACCCCAGGATTTTGGAAGTCACCCATGGGAAAGCAGCAAACTGGTGACCCAAAAAGCCACCTCCCAACTGGGGTGATGCAGGGCTGGAGTAGGAAGCTCTGCTCCAAAGCATCCAACTCCCTGCTGACAGGGGCTTGAGCTGACTCCAGCATAACGATACACGCACTGGGCATGATGTAGGGAAGCTGTATTTGTGGGGTTGCATTGGTTATCCTCTGCACAACTCCTCTGCTATCTGCAGCCAAGTGGCTCACAAAACTCATCTCCTTGCTAACATAAGACATTTCTTACGTTCCACTCGAAGCCGGTGACAGCGATTCCCCCAGCAGCACCAGTCCCAGCCAGTCCAATGAAGAGCCCTGAGCCCTCACTGCTGGCAAACAGAGAGGCTCCGATCTGCAGAGAGAGCAGGAGCTGCTGGGACGTGTGGACTCGGGCATGTTGTGCCAGGACAACTCCTGCCAGAGTCCTTTGGAGGTGCACGTCAGGCCCCAGCAACCAACGCTTCCTTGTGTCCAGCTCGTCTCAACATCCCTACTGGGTTTTGGGTAGGTTTTCTTGGTTTCATAGAATGGCTTCAGATGGAACGGACCTTAAAGATCATCCAGTTCCAACCCTCAGCCACAGATGGGGTCGCCAGCCTCTCGACCAGGCTGCCCAGGCTACCGCTCAGTGTGGAGTCATCAGTAAAATGCTGAGAGTACATCCTCAATCCCAGCATTTGTGTCATTGATAAAGACACTGAGGAGCCCAGGTCGCAGGATGGAACCCTAGGGGACCCCACTCCCCTGGACCACAACCCTCTGGCTGCGCCCATCCAACCAACTCTTTATCCACTGCCCTTCAAATCTGCATCTCTCCAATTCAGAGAGAAGGATGCGATGTGGGACCGCAGCGAAGGCCCCGCACAAAGCAGGATGAGGAACAAGCAGTGCTGCATCACGGGGAACCACGAGGTCTCTACTTACTGGCCACCACGCCATGTCTCTGCCAGCAAGGAAATAACCGCTGACCGTGTTCCTGTTCACCCTGCATGAAGACTGGGAGGAGAAAGCATCAGCATGGAACACTTTCCCTGCAAACCCAGACAAGAAACCAAGAACCCAGCCTGCCAGACAAGAAGCCAAGAGACTGGATAATTAATGGGAGTTCTGCAACTCCAGCATAATTACACGAAACAGCAGCTGCACCCCAAGTCCCCAGAGCCACGAGCAGTAAAGGGCACCCCCAGAGCGGGCAGTGGGAGGGCAGAGGATGCTGCCTCCATGCTGGGCAGACAGGCAGGCTCGTAGGGCACGGCCCTGGACAGGATTTTTCTGCAAGGCAGAATACGTGGCTTTGGAGAGCCTTTGACTCAAATTGCAGGTTGCTGAGAGCTTTTTGTGGTGAGCAGCGCATTTGTCTTAACAGCCTGTAATAGAGAAGGGCAGAGCTGCTCGCAGGCAGCAGGATGGGGGAGAAGTTTGTGCCAGCTTCAGCCCACCTCGTTCTGAGGCAGGAGCCCTTCCATGTGTGATGAGGAGCAGAGGGCGTACACAGCAGAACAGAGCAAATGCAGCACAGTATGCAAAATGCACAACAAAGGTAAACTTCAATGGATGGGGGAAAAAAGTGTATTTTAAATAATGGAAGAGGAAAGCAAAAGCTGAATAACAAGAACACTCTTACCCATATTCCCACAGCAAGGTTTAAGGAAAAGTAAGTCACTACAACCACAAGATCAGCAACGCTGAACTGCTGCAAAGGGGTGAAGGATCCGACTGTGGAATTGCCTTCCATCGTTCCTCTGCTCCCTCCTTCACCCTCCAGGGAAGCCTCCCACTGACGGTCACTGAATCAGTAACGCGTTGCTGCCCGAGGGAATTGATCATTAATCAACCCCCTGCCTCGCAGCTCAGCACCCCCAGCCCCTGCCCCCCCCTGCAGGAGCCAGCCCTGCCTGCAGAGCCACCCCAAGGAGCACAGCTCTGCAGGCACAGGCGGCAGCACGGCATTCTGCTGTCACACACACGAGCTGTGACTTCAGTCTGATTGGTTCGGGTTTTTCTTTCTATGCTTTTTTCGCGCCGCTCCTGAGGAGAAGCAAAGTTCTCCCTCACTGCTCGACCGGAATTTCACTTGCATTACCATATCCCAAGTACGTGCACGTGTTAATGTGTCAGCTTGGGCTATCTGCTAACACCACAGGACTGTTTAATAACCTACTGTCACTACAGCACAACCAGGTGCAGCCTCGCCATTTGGCCCTTGGTAGACAGAACCTCACGGGACAGCAGAGCACAAGGAATCTCCATCTCACTTGGCGAACGCACCAAGAGCTCCCAGGGCTCCCAGCCACTGCCCAGGCCTCTGCCGCGCCAGGGGCTGTGCTGACAGACGTGAGGGAATGGGGGGAAACCTTCCAAACCCCAAAGATGGTTGCCTTCCTCGCAGACACGTCAGCAAAGGTTCGTTTTCACCTCCGATTTTGGCGACGCCGGGAGTTTCGTACCTATTTGTAGGACATTGTGATTGAGAGCAATTAGACAAACAACCCGTAAGAAAACGCTCATTAATTCCACCGCAGCCAGGAACTTCTGGTCACTGAGCAGCTCAAGCAGCTCCCTGCATGCGAGTGTCCACCGGGACAGCTGGCAGAACAGACCTGAGCGAGTCCAACCTTGCCTTATGGCCGGTTTTTGTTTGGGTTTGTTGTTTCGGGTTGGGGGAAGCTCACGTTCCTACATTCAGGCCAGGACATAAAGCTTTTCAGAGCCAGTTCACCTGTGACGAGCTTTTATCAGCTGCGACCTCTGGATCCCATCACCCTGCTGCTGCCGCCAGCTCTCCCTGCTAACCAAACCCTGCACAGCACCTCCAGACAGCTCTACCCTTCAGCTCAAGAAGTACCAGCACAAGCAGAAATCCTCAGGCCAAAAAGCCAAGACTTCACACATCCCCTGCTCCATCACTGCCCTCAATTCCATACACTTTCACCCCAGTACTCCTAAGTCCCCGTTGTCCCTTGACATCCAGCCACAGGTTCAGATTCCAACCACACTGCCTGAAGCAAAGCAGTACACTGCAAGCATACAATACCTGCCAAATTACAATGAAACTAATTTACACGTTTGCGATAGCCCCCAGAAACTGGGTGCTGGAAGGCTGTGCATTTTGCATTTTACAAGGCTGCTCAGCAGCAAGACGGGCTGAAATGTAACAGGGCCACAGCATTCAGGAAAAAGCAGCCTCTCCTTGCCTGCAGGTGCTCCAGCACAGGACAAGCAAAACAGATGCTGCTTCCTTACTGCCTGGAAGCCTGAATTCTGCTTATATTCCAAAGTAACATATAAGCATAAAATGATCAATTCACCTCTTGACTTCCTCCAACATCCCAGTATCTGCAAATCATTCTGAAGTGAGGACATTTTGGAAGACAAGCGACTGTTATATAAACATTTTTAGAAAGCTCACACAAACCAAATCTTTATTCTTTGTCGCAGAAAATAAATACAGGTGCATATCTTCATATGCTTTATAGAAAAGCACTCCTACAAAATCACTTAAATGCATACAACAGTACAACCTTTTTGGCTTTTTAAATGCAAATATTATACAGTCACTTCATTTCATTATCTTTTAAAGCACTTGTAGCAAGCAGCTTTGGAAAAGGAATGCTTAGTTTAGAAGCCAAATTCTTGCTTCAAGTGTTTTGTGGGTTTTTTTCCACCATGTATATAGTGCAACTAACCTATAAGCAACTAGAACAGTTTTCTGTAAAACGTTTCCCACCTCCCTCCCTCTCTCACCACTTTTCACCCCCCAAAAAAACTGCAAAGAAAAAAAAACAGCTCTTAAAAAACTGTTCTACCTTGATACTTCAACCAAGAGAAAACAAAACGTGGCTCAACAGAAATATTAAGTAAGCATGATGCTTCACAGCTCGTTATCTTGTCACTTCCAGTTTGGCCCAAGGTGTTTTATTTAAATTAGAAAGCTTTAATCATCCAGTCCAATATTTCTGAAAAGGTACGACATCGACTCCCCGTTGTGGATCCTGCGAATGGCTTCTGAGAGGATCATGCTGATATCCACAGTCTTGATTTTAGGGCACTGCAGTTTCTGGATTTCATGTGGAATCGTGTTTGTAACAACCACCTAAAGGAAGAGGACAAACTGGTCACATACAGCCCCTCCATCCTTTCCACCTGCCTATCAGAACTGTGAAACTCCACGTCCACCCTCCAGATCCTACTGAACCAGCCTGGCTGACAAAGGAACAGGATTTCACATTGCTGCCAGGATCAAAATCTCAGGGATATCAACGCACTGCTGTAGGACTCCTCAGAGCCACAGAGACCAGCTGCAGTGCTCCCCTTCTTTTAATGCCAGCACTAAGTTCAAAAAGGAAGGTACAAAATTCCCCTCCAACGTGTGGGAGATAAGTGTGCCAGTACTGACAGCTCATCTCTTCACTCTCCTAGTTTCCCACTGCTACAGTGTCAGGATATAGAGATGCCACTTTTCTAGCATGCAAGACAAGAGTAATAAAGCCTAAACACAGGATCCTATCCAGATCAATTCTTAATGCCAGTATATGTTAAGAATCAAGTCAGGAAAAATTTGCTGACTTAAAAAAGAAAAATCATCTGAGTAGAAATTCAGCATGCATGCTTACTTCATCAATTGCAGATTCTTCTATCAGCCTGGGAGCATCCGAAGACAGCAGGCCGTGTGTGGCCATTACGAAGATCTTGTAAGCCCCCCTCTCCTTGAGGGTCTCTGCTGCAGCAAGAAAGCTGTCAACATCATCTATAATGTCATCCTGTCAAACAAAGGGGACACTGAGCCACTGGAGCTCAGCACGTTCTCACACAGATCAACCTTTCACCTTTTCCAGATACAACACCCAAATGTTATCAGAAGCCCACCACCAAAGTTCAGTTACTAATGCAACAAAAACTGTACTTGCTGTCTGCAACTTTAACATACTGAATATGATTTATCCAAAGGCACAGCATTTTACTCACCACGATGATAGCTATTCTTCCGCCTACATCTCCAACAACTGTGATGGGTGGTTTTTCCTTGGGAATCAGCACTGATTAACAGCAATGTTTTAGAGAAATAGAAAACAGAAAGGAAAAGAAGGTTTATACAATTTACATTAAGTGTAAAAACATCTGCCTTGCATCAATCACCACTGTTTTAGAGAGAAGCAACGTGACAAGTATTCCAACAGCATTTCTGGAAAATGCAAAAAAAATATATTTTAAGTCCAACCAAAAGCATGAATGACACGGGTACAGTGGCTTGCAGACACAAGCAGTTCCATCAGACCCAAGCTAGGGTTATGCAGTGAAGTTTTGCTGGTGCAGCTCCAGGTCACAGCCCATTCAGCACAGCTCCTCTGTCAAGCACACAACGCTGACCCACACACACACAAAGCCAGGCCAGCTCAGCTTACAACTCCACGTCCCAGAACAAAATCCAACCACAACCAAGAGGCAGAAGAGCGCGGCCTCTGCGCCCCCCTGCCCCATGTGACGGCACAGATGTCACACGCAGCACAGCACCAGAACCAGGGATCACAGACACCCAGCAGCAATCTTCTCTTCCCCCTCATGTTCTCAGAAAGATTGCTGATGGTCCAGCACTATCATCCCTGCCCCAAAACCACAGAAAGCAAGAGGTGAACACTTTCACACACAAACTTACTTACTGGGTATCTCCAAACTGGGATGAATAGCAGCTACATTCTTGGCTGTGGGCGGCGAATGTCGACCATCCACCATGTCAGACTCAGCATCCTGAGCTTCCCCATGAATCACTGCAATTCCCAACCGTAAACGTTCAGCAAATGACTGGGCCCTGGAGAGGAAGGGTTAAAGAAAAATAATCATGTATATATAAGGTGCACACATTAAACCTAAAACATTTCACATGCAGACACGTCTAACCTACAAGTATTTTAATTTTATTTTTAAAGTTACAGAGGAAAAGCGAAATGATCCTAAAATTGCAGGACAATAGAAGAAATCAGTTATCCCATGACATCTTATTTTCACTAGGCTTGTGACAGGCAGAATAGCCTTGGAAGTGTCCATACAGGCTTTGCAAGCAACAGGTCAAATGCTGCAAAGGCAACAAATCTGATTGCTCCCTTCCATTTTGCCCAGTCAAAAAAAAAAACAAAACCAAAACCAAAAAGCAAATGAAACTTTCTGGCCTTCAGCATTCTTGAGATCCTGTGCTTCAGCCGCTGACATGTAACCATCATCAAGAATATCTGGATTGCTGACGTTTAATGAAACACAAACAATTGTTCACCTGCTTCTTTTTAGCAAGACGTGGACTGGGGAAGGCAGCATCCCTGACCTTCTGACTCGCGGCCTTGGATATCCTACTGAAGAGGCATCAAACAACGATGCTGCCTAACAAACAGCTCTTGAAATTTAAACAGCAATCTACAAACTCACAAGTTCCCCCACCATGCAGTATTTTCCTGAATTAGAATTTATGTAAAGAAGTACCAAGTCAGCTGAAGGAGTGGGAAAAGCAGAGAGGCAGGAAAAAAGGAAATTTGCAGCCAGTGCCTGCATCCCAGCTGCCAGCAGCAAGGACAAATGAAGCGGGATTCGCCCCGCTGACACACTGAGCTGATCTGATCTCCCTCTGCTCAAAGCCACACCAGCACATACAAAGCCAAACGCCTTGTCCTAACCTCAGTACCTGCGACTTGTGGCCTGAATTACCTCCTTTACATTCAAGCCTTGTTTCACTATCCAAACAACTCAAAGTCCACAGAATAATTTGCTCACTGCGATGCTCTGCTAATTAAAAACGAAGACTTTTCTGCACTGCGGTTCTCGTAGTTTTCTTTTTCAAAAGGTTGAATGCATATAAATCATGATTCCAAACATTTATTTCAAGAGTTATGACTTAAAAGGCATAATCACATGAACGAATCGATCATTAAAAACCACAACGTTACACTGAAGTTCAAAACAACACTCAAATGATTTATTCATTTTCCACTGAACTCAGAAACTGCAGAAACATTCTGAACTCCTTCAAGCAGAAGCTGTCACAAGAAGAACGTCACATTCATCCAGAGAATGTGTTCCTCTATTGGGATAAACCATTCAGCCATTCTCTTCCGAGTACAACAGGTCTCCTCAAGCACTGCTCTGAAATGCACCTGTGTAATGTGAGGAAACTGAACACACACAGCTCTGGGATCCTCTTCTGCACATCTGCGACTGACTGAGCTGCTAACGGTGTGACAAGCTACTTGCTGGCATATGCAGTTACCTGGCAAGCATGAAAACGTTTCAACAAACATCTCTGGACCTAGGAGGCAATGCTGACACCAAAGAAATGAAATAAAGACAAGCATGTGAAAAATAACCATCAAAATCAAAACAAGTCACCTGAAAACTACTGCTGGGAAACAAAGATGCCAAAGGTCACTGCCCCAGCATACTTCTACAAATAAAACATTTCTGATTTACGATGTAAAACAACGAAAACCTTTTTTATGAAGACAATCAAAGAAGTCTTGGCTTAAGCCTAGGTAACTTCTCAGCAAATTACTGGTTTTACTACAGCAAAAATAATATCTCTTAAATCACCAACCAGCTCTTTGCCATCCTCCCTGAGTAGCATAACTGCAACGAGCTCAGGTACAGCAACCAGAAAGCTCCAGGAATTAATTCCAACTGTTTGGGCAACAGAACTTCTCACATCAAACAGCCTCAGCCCTCAAACCCCACCATGCCAGATGGTGAGTGAGGATCTGATAACAAAGCTCTAAGCTGTGATCGTTAAGCAATTACTCCGGATTAACTGTGTTCTTCCAGCCATTTTGCTTCACTCACAATAGGCAACCCGTGGTGTAAACACAGAAAAATAGGACTAAATAGCTTCTGAATACTAAGCACTGCATGGATTTATCATAGTGGTAAACACCACACATCTGACAGTTAAGTGGCAGGGGGTGTGGGCTGCATCTTCTAACTGCTGCTCTTGTCTAGGTTCACCTGATCTGAAAAGCAAAATCACAACAGAGATTTCCTGCTCTAACAAGAGAGCAGATCTTACCCACCTCTTTGCAGACGCAGGTGATTTGGCCACAATTACAGCATTCCTGTAGTCTGGTATCTGTAGTAAATAACAGATAGCAATGTCTACTTTGTATCTTCAGACAGATTTAAACTCAGTAAGAATCAAAATTTCATTCTGCCAAAAGAATTTTAAACATTGAATGTTTTACCTAACATAAGAAAGCAACCTCGAGAATCCACAGTGTGTGATGAGACTTCACGTCTCAGTAAGCCCAGCCATGAAGCAAATTCAGACTTTTAACTCACAATTCCACCTTTCATTCATATCAGGTTATACAGATTACACAAAAGCAACTGCCTTAGAGTAATATGCAGACTACAAAGGCAAATGTTAAAAAACAGGAAACCATGAAAACTGAAGTTTCCCGTCCTATTTAAATTGTCTTGCAAATCCACACAGCAGCCTTTCAACACTTAAAACACAGTATTTCATCTTTCCTTCTTTGTGGAGTTGTTCTTCCAGTTACAGGGAAAAAAAAAGAAAAGAAAAAGAAAAAAAAAAAAAGAGACAGGCCTCTCCATGACATCACAGCAACTCCTCACACGTACCATCAACAGCTTCAAATTCTACAGCCAACATTCTGGTCCTGGAGCCACAGTTTATGTCCTCTCTGTAGGTCAGCGTGAGGACGCCGCTCCAGATGCTGACAGCAGCAAAGTGGGAAGACCAAGAAGTTTGGTTTTCATTTCAAGGTCTATGGGGACATGAGTCAGTCTTTACATGCACCATCCCTCCCAGGCTTGCTGCCTCACTGTCATACTGGCTTTTCTTCTCTGACACTCTCGCTTCATTTAGCCAGCATTTTAGTCCCCATCTCTCATCTCAGTCTCCTGTTTTCCCTTCCAAAGCTCCTTGTCAGACCAATCTTTCCTCGCCCAGTTTCAACCATTCCACTATCTACATTTCCAGTCCTTTCTCGCCTCTTTTCCAACAGCACTTTGTGTTCCTCTCACTGCAGTCCTTCCTTGCAAACTCAGCATTATCCTGGGACAATCAGTCTGCCACAGAGCACAGCAGGCAAACAACCTGCCTGGTCCTGCAGCAGCTCAACACTCCACGGCCGCTCTCAGCTGCAACAACAAGTCCTACAGAACTGATCAGATCCCTGGAGAACCCCAGCGTTACAGACCTCAAGAGCTGCTAATGAATACCTGCAAACAGTTCTGTTAGAGCTGTCATTTGGCAAAACTGGGGGACGGTACCCCGAAACAGAGTTTGTGGCCTCACTGTCAGATGCTAAATACCTCCAAAACATGGAAACATTTCTTTCTCCCAACCACAAGCTAAGTTCTTCCACAGCCTTATCCTCAGACACAGAAACCACACCAGCCAAATATTTCCAAAAACATTCTATCTGAAAGAATTCTTTTTTTCCACGCTTACTGAAGTACTGAATTTTGGCATGGACCCAACAACTGAAAACAAGGGCTTTGCAGAGGATGTGTCAGGAAACATTAATAATCCGCAGCGCTACCAACTCCACCTACAGCAGTGGGAATTCAGCATGTTCTGTCCTTTACAAATGCTAAGTCAAACAACAGCCTAGGAAGATGAACATGTTGGAAGGTACAGACAAGGCAGGGCCTGTCATTTGACATAATAAAGGCTTTGATCTTGTTCAAACATCATTGCCTCACTTTTCCCCTGCCGAATTACCGAATTTGTTCTCATCTCTTCAAAAATGAAGTCAGAAAGCCAGAAATGTCATCCAAGAGACAGCAGAGCATCAACAGCTGCTGGTAACAAAGAGCTACATCACTCTGAGATTGGCAAATCACTCTAAGATTAACATGTATGCACAGGAAAGAAGACAATAACTATAAATATTTGCTGGACATACAAAGGAAAACCACCAAATTATCTTCATTCCACATGGATTTCACTGACTGGACTGACTTCATCCCAGAGCACCAAATAATTCCTTCACACCTGTGCATAAATCCCTGGCAGTGAACAGCCACAAGGCCTCATCCCCTGAGCTTTCAGTTCAATGCTTTGTAAGGGACCTTCACTCTTACCAATCCGGATTCTATCTCCTGCTGTTCAGTGCATCCCATCACAACTCCCACCTGAAACATTTTCCATGCTGTGCCATTCACGGTGCAGGAGATGCAGCAGCCAAGGTAAGCTTGAGAAGAACACTGAATTCTTTCTGAGCAACACCAGAGGAATCTTTTACAAAGGGATAATAAATACAATTTGGCTAGAGAAACTACTCGCCAATATAAAACCCAGGTGATCACAGTGGTTCAGTCAACTTCACTTCTAGCAAGTCATCTCTAACAAGCAGAGGAAGGAAGAAACAAAAACCAAAGTATATCTAAACAAAGTCCCCTCCACATCCACCTCAGCAGTGCTTTGTGGATGCTCCCTGGTTAGAAAGCAGCAGGAAGAACAGACTCAGCTGCAACAACTCCTTGTAAATCATTCTGACAATCACCTATCAAAACGTGCTTAAAGACTAAACCACATCCTGACCTCCTCACCTACCATAGACAACAGGTTCAAGTAACATGCAGTGGCAAAACTTGTCTTCAATCCTTCTACTTGGTCTTTTACTTTCTTTTCTCTAACTTACACAGTGATTACAGTGCACAACTGTGGAAGAATGGTGAAATGGTGACATGAAGGATGGTGCCACAGCCAAGAGCCCAGAGTTTTGTTCCATAGCTTTCCCTCATGCTAGGAGTGCAGCACCAAATGATGGCTGGCACTCAGCTGGGAATTGAGCAAGAGAATCTTAACAATCATGGTGGGTTTGTTTGTATTTGCATTTTTTTTTTTTAAATTCAGGCATCCATCTCTCTGCAAATGAAAAGGTGTGGCTTAAAAAGAAACAATTACTTTCTTCCAAATTTACACTTAGTCAAGACATAAAATGCATCTTATACCTACAATTATCAACTGCACAATTCGTACACTGTGCAGCACTTCTCAAAGCACTTTCTGAAAGTCACATCCACCTCAGAAGACAGAGCACTGGATGCACACAGCATCAGAAGTCACACTCAAGCCCTGAACAAACAGCAGGAGATTCCCCACAGAATAATCTGTCCTTATCTTCAGATCAAGATGCACAGACTTCCATCATTTACATGGTAACCTACACAGTACTTTCACAATGTAACTTATGTAAGTTACACCTAACAAGCATTCCATCCTGTAAATGGCAAACAGGAGAGGAAAAGGACAACCAGAATAGGGAAATGCTCTTTTTTAAAAATATGAACATGTGTGAGAGATGGAACAGCAGCCTTACATGGATAATAAAATGCCAGTTCTTCATGAAAGGAAACCTCGGTCCTCTGACGGGAGAAGAACCAACTTCACGATTCCTGCCCCAAAATGACCCTTCCTCCTTTCAAAATCTGTTTGAAGAATTAATCTTTTCACAGGAATTTGCTTCAAGAGTCTCAAGACGTGACAAAAAAAAATTAAAGAAACAAAAGGCTGCAATAGAATGGCTTTCTCACCTCTTCTTGGATGTACTGCAGTAAAAACGGAGATGCTCTCAAGTTATCAACTGGAATATTGAAGAAGCCCTGTATTTCCTTCTGATGTAAATCCATGGTAATAAGATGAGTTAGTCCTTCAGAAACAAAATAAAATAGACATATGGACAAGCAGATGAAGAACATTATTTTTCTATTCAATTTAACAGGTTTTTTTCAAAACAAGCTCTGTGAGCTGCTCTGGTACTAGAAGCACACAGCTGTGTCCCTTTCACACACAGGGGTTGCCATGCCTCCAGACGCCTCAGAGCAACCTCCATCAGTGGATCAGCAGTGCCACACTGAGGCAGCTGTGATCCTTCTCCATTTGACACGTGACAAAATGCAACCACAAAGGAGATGGATACAGAAAGGATCTACGGCACACAGCATGAGCCTGGCACAGCAAACATCTGAGTTCTGAGCTCCTGAGAAATGGATCCAAATTCCACTCATTGCTATGTTTCTTCTTTCAAAATAAGAACCAGATCCCAGCGTTCACTGCTACTGCACGTCCTTCCCAGGGACAGGAGTAGAAGGAAAGAAGCAGAAAAGAAACTCTATTGAGGACTGACAACGAATAATCACGTTCTCCCACGTCAACTCAAATGTAAAGAGGAGACAAAGCACATTCTCCACTAGGTAAAAGAGACAGACTAGAAATGAGAAAGCACAACTGTTCGAGATTGAGGAAGGCAAAGAACAGCACTGTGAGGGAGACAGCATGACCTGAAGTGGCAGACCCATCTCACCTGCACAGCAGGATGCAGTGTGAGGTGGATGCTGCATTTTTTTCCCTTAACTCCTCATTTGCAGCTCTCTCTCATTATACCCTTCTATGCGATTTTAAACTTACAAAAACTGACGTTACTTTTAATAAAAGTCTCAGCTTGCACACTGACCTCTTTCAATCTGAATGCTGAGCATAGGATCCCCCATTGCCCCGATTATTTCATAACAATCTCCATCCTTACCAGCTTTGCACATCATTGAAGCCAGTAATTTAGAAACAATGGAGCCCCTTTTTCTCATCTTGCACTGTTTGCTGTAGGGGAAGTAAGGAATCACTCCAATAATGCTTTTGGCACAGGATGTTTTACAGGCATACACCATGATCAGGAGTTCCATGATCGTAGTATTCACATCCCTGCAATGAGAAGCATCTGGTTTTGTATCCAGGAATAAAAATCCTGCAGCAGAATTAAAGGTAACACCTGCACACAGAGATTTCACTCCACTGTAGTAAGAGTGCTGTCAGAGATTCTTCAGAAAGAATCCAGTTGTGCACCTAAGGATGCAAGCACCCTGTACCTACCACTGTAATTCTTCACTGCATTTGTTTTTCACTTTTTGGGGCAACTCAGCAGTTTTTGTTATAGCACCCTTCAGGCTTTTAGGAATACAGAACAGTGTTGTAACAACTACACCACAACTCTGTTTTTTTCTCATGGTTGAACTAAATCATTTTAGAGGTCTTCTCCAACCTTAATGATTCAATGAATCTATCCCTAACATTTATTGCTATTGTGTACAAAACAGATATATTTTTCAATACACATAGCTTAAATTTTAAAAGATGGCTTGCAATACATTTCCCTTTTGTTCAAGCCAACAACAGGCTAAATATACTGTAAGCACCGTCTGTTTTCTGCTCTAAATGAGAAGATAGAGAGGGCCTCCCTGCAGATGGGAACCAGTCAGCAACTCAGACACCTCCTACTCCTGTAGCCACTAGAAATTTTTTTTTAAAAAGTCTTCACATGTGTAAAGTTCTTTTCAAAACAACAAAATGGTTTTCTGAATCACCAAACACACTGCCCAGGAAACGTTTCTGCTACTTTGAGAAGCCTTAACGGCGCTGGAGCCACAGCACTGAAAAGGAAGGAATTCAGAGAACATGGTGAGCAGAAGAATGCACTTAGCAGAAGAACTGAGAGAGGCCATGGGGAAAGTTTCAATGATATTTTCACTGAAAGTAAAATTAATTGATGTTAGCGTATAATGAAGTCTTCTTTGTGCATGTATTAAAAATATACAATCTAACCTCATCATACTGTATCACACACATATGATGCAATGAGAAGTTAAAACAGAAGCATTCTTATGGACAGCCTACACCAAAATACAGAGAAGTGCCTTTAAACAGGTACTCACTTTGAAACTGTCTGGATGATAAACACATCCTTTCCTCTCACAGACTCCTGAATTTGTACTCTTGTTTCTGCCAAGAAGAGAACTATGTAAGACTTGCTGGAGCAAAATGCAACAGAAACAAGAAGAGGGTAGCCAAAATCTGCACACTGTAGACAGGTAAGATTCCAGTTTTGCCAATTAAATGCTCACCTCTATTTGGCTCTTGATAAACCTGAACCTTCCCCATCTCAACTCCTAATCGCCTGCAGGAAGAGAAAACAAACCAGAATATGAGAAAACGAAAGGTAAAACAAATGAAGAGCCCACAGTGCCATAGCTACTGAAAAGGCTGCATTTGAGGAGAAAAACAGGAAAAGAAAACCACAAGTCCTAAAATCAGCAACTGCAGTGGAAATCTCTTGATGCAGCCACACTGCAGGTTAAGCTAAACTCGTTTTCAAGTCAAGCTCAGAACAAGCAGTGGAATAAAAATACTGCTTCTTAAATTATGTAACAAGTTCTCATTCTTATATATCTGCACGCATTACACACACGCTGCACTGTCTCTAAATCTACACAGTTGACAACATAAACATTCACAACACTCAACGACCACTTCTAAAGCACTCTTTTCCAAAGAAAAACATCAATCTAAAGTGTATGGAAAAATACTAGTGAGCTCTATTCAATGAATAAAGAAAGATTAAAGCCTGCTGAGTTTATTCCATTTCAGTATCAGCACAGACCACAAGCAGAAAGCAGGATATGACAGGTACGCATGCCCAAATCCTTCTCATGCACAGCTCCTTTCTACATTTAGCTTTGGTACAAAAATCTCAGGAATAACCACATAACAAAAGAGAAAACCAGCCTTTACTAAAACAAGTCCCATCATAAAGACAGAGGTCCCACGCTGCCCTGCAGGCAGATATTACTTACTCAGCAATTCTCTTTGATAGTTCCATGCATGAAGAATTGGAATTAGCTGAAAACAGCACCAGTCCACCTTTCGTTATATTCATGATGGCCCCAGTTTCAGTTGATGGCACACAAAACATCAAACCTAAGTTGTCTTCCCACTCCTAAAAGACTGGAAGAGATCAAAGGCCTGGTAAATCCACATGTTAAAAACACAAAAAGAACAAATTTTCTCTGTTTAGACAATGAGTTTTTTGTAAGGCTGTATTCTCCAACATTCTTAGTATTTACAACCACTGCAGTGGTTTGTGATCCACAGGCTAGCTCAGCATACCTAGAGATGTGGCACAAAGAACAGGCCTTCCACCTGTCCTGTTTTCTCCTACCCCCAAGCTTCACATAACCTGCCAGAAAAACGTTTCACTGGAAGTCTCCAAAAGATCTCCCCTAGACAACTTCCTAACAGATGGGTTTTTTATTTGTTGGGGTTTAAAATGCTCTCCTTAGGCTATAATTTAGCAGCACAGATTCTCCTTTCCACAGCTCCCTTTCTAGAGCTAAGCAACACTGACTCTCAATATCACAACGCCACTCAGGTACGGTCTGAGCTCACGAGAGCCCTGTGGGTCCTGGTCCTGTTTGGTCCAACAAAGTGAGAGTATACTAGAAATGCTTTTAGGCCTCAGAACATCAGCTGAAAGCATCTTTCTCTGGCATACCAGGAACAACGTTGAGACAACCTTCAATTGTTACTGCAAACCTCTACATGGCAATTTGAAGACAACTTTTATCTCCAGTTATGTTACCTTCCTTCCTGCACTGATTAGGAAAATAAAGAGTAATTAAGAATCTGGTGAAAGATGAGAGCTGTTTCACATTTATTGCTCAGCATGCACCTTAATCCACAACAAGGTACTGCCATTCACTACCAACAAGGAAGATTTGCAGTTTTTCACATAAACACAGGTCAAGGACATGTGGATGTACTGCAGCAGCAACAACTGCGTGGTGTAGGGAGAAGTCAGTTTTGTGAAGCAACACTGACGCATCAAACAAGAAAAGGATGCTGGGACGACAGCAAACTGACGACAACTTTATGTATTAGATGTGCATAGATGTGACTCCACAGGTGCCCATGGGACCACAGCCCTCCCTGGCTGCAGGTGGATGCATCTCCCAGGCCAGGCTGTAAGAAAACACACATTTCACAGTGCAGGCTGCTCCACCAGCTCCTACCCTTCCTTCTGGGCAGGACGCAGCTACACCCGCATTACCTGATGAATACAACGATTCCTGGACGGGCTGCGCACGATCCCATCGCTTTCCCTTTTACACCTCCACCAACTCAGCGCGTGCAATACGGAAGGCAACAGAGGCATAAACAGCTGTCTGGAATCACCGCTTCTAAACGCGATCGCCACGGGCTGGGGGCAGCCTGGGCCCTTCCCACGAGGGGATGCGGTTCTCTACAGCCCCAGAAAGACCTGGGCGGCGATCGATCCTCCCGGCTCGCTCAGAGGGCCGAGCCCCGCACCCACACTCCCTACCGCTCCGTATTCCCTCGAGGGAGCGGCCCGAGCGCCCCTCAGTCCCCGTCGTGCCACCAACCACACCCCCGCTCCTGCCTTCACCTGCGGGGCCGCCAACGAACCCCCCGGAAAGCGGCTCCCTCCCACACGGCCGCTGAGGGGAAACCCGTTTCTCGGGCGGCGGGGCGCTGTGCGGGGCAGGGTGTGGAAGGGGAACAACGGAGCGTCCCTTGCTGAAAGCCTTACCTACCGGCTCCTGCCCTCCGGTCCCGGGAGAAGGCGACCCGGCCCGGAGGGATGGTGGGGAAGTAGAGGCAGCGCGAAGCTCAGCCCCTCCAGCGGTTATCCGCTCGCAAGATGGCGGCGCCGCGAGGGGGGGGGGGCGGGCGGAGGGTGCGCGAGGGGCGGGAGAGAGGCCACGCCCTGCCCCCCCCCCCCCCCCGCCCCCCCCCGCCGAGGCCTCGCGCCGCTCTGAGGGGCGTCTCCGTCGGCGCCATTTTGCCCCCCTGCGGTGGGGGGGGGATACTGAGTCACGGCCGAGGAGGGCCGATTTGGGGTGCGTGCTGTTAACGTGTCGTTTCATGTTTTCCCCGCTCGGATGTCACAGGGGTGGGCAGTGGTATCCGTCAGGGTTGTGGAAGCCTCCTCACAAAATCCGAGCTGTATGGCTGTATCCGACTGTACTGTGAAGTACACTGCACAGTGCTAGGTTTTGTTATCCTGCCCAAATTCAGGAGGGTAAAGCAGACAGTCATGTTGTGGTACGTGGGTCAGAGTTCTATCCTTTGGAGTACAGGTACAGATCAGGTGCTTTTGACTGCACCTTCTCACAAAATAATTATTCCTGGGCTGCAACATACAGCGTGCATTGGAACAAGGCCTGTAGCACCGAGCAGAGACCTGTGTGCCATGAAAGACACAGAAAAGCTGCTCATACTGCTCACCCAATGCACAAAGACAACTTCAGATTTTGTACTTTGAAACTTCTTACAATGAAACTGCCACCGTGAGCTGCATTTTTTGCTTTAAGCATTCACATGCTTGCCTGCAGCTCACAATATGCGCTTCAACAGTTGTCTCCACTGCCAGCAGTCAGAGCAGGGCAGGACAGCAGTTGAACCTGGACCAGCTGCCAGATGCTGAGCAGTCCGCACGCAGCACTCCTCACAGAGCACAGACATCCGTCTGAAATGCATGAGACCTGTTTGTGTCCTCAGAGAGGCAGTGCTGCAGCGATTCCATGCGTGTCTGCAGGATCTCAGGTTGGAAAGTGTCATAAAATGGGCCCCGTGCCTCCTCACCGCCCCCACCATTTCCAGTCTGCGTTCCTCTGCTTACAGGCTGCTGCTCCCGCTGTTGATTCAGGTTCCTTGACCTTTGCGGGTTCCTTTTTGTTTTGCAGGGAAGGCGGCTTTGAGCCTTTTGTCAGCCTCTTCATAGAGCAGCAGAGACTTCTTAGCGTCAGTCCTCATCACAGGGTTTCACTGCAGGCTGATGGCAGAGCAGCCAGAAACAACACATGTTGAAGCGCTGACCCACAGTGCAATCAGCAGCCTTCCTCAGAGGCATTTTTCAATACCCTCAGGGCACACAGAATTTGCTGACTACTCGATTTGTCCTGCCCCGAATTCCTGACATTTACACAAGCAAACCACAGGACCAGGAACTAAAAAAAAATTATGTCTTCTGATCCTTTTTCTTGGGCCACTGTCTGCGTTTCCTCAAAGAAAATCAGTTTCTTTCCTGCCTCTGTTTTCCTGGTCAGAGGATTACAAATGGAAGCCTCCAGTCCCAACGGAGAGGGATTTGTTAATATTACAATATGTTCTTCAAATACTGAGAGTTTAACAGATTGCTTTCCCAAAACGAGCACCTGGTTTTTAATTTCATTTACAATGATCCAATTAGCAGTCATCTAAGGAATTCTGGAAAACTGTTACGTGTGACTGGAGCAGCTCAGGGAAATCTGTTGTTCTTAATCCAGATACAATTCTGTCAGGAAGAAGTGTGCCATAAAGTATGAATTTAAGAAGCCCACAGTTAGTCCAGCCAAGGTGAAGGGCACTGCTCATCCAGCGCTTGGCCAGACGACAGCCTGCATCCATCACCTGAGAGACAACAAATGCTTGTGTCATCCTGTCTCCTAAGCTCCATCCATCACTGCTCTGCCAGGTTGCAGTTTCGTATTGTTTGCTGTTGCTTTGTTAAAAATCTCCTGCCAATCTACTTGTTGGCAAGAGTTATTGAGCTTGGCACACCAAAGAAATGTTTTGCTTTCATCCTGACACTGCCCTGTGAGTGTGCTTTGTCTCTCCCAGTAGTCTTACAAGGCACCTTGAAGAAATCTTCTGCCCCACATATCCTTCCAGAGCCTGCTGGGACACCCTGCAGCATGTAGGAACCTTCACACTGAGCACCTCCACGCTCAGCACAGCCTCAAGGCTGCCACCTCCAGTCCCTACCTCAGGAGTGACTGTATCTGGTTTCTAGAAGATGGAAGAAACCTGGATACTGCCCAGCTAGCAAGGCAGAGCTCAAAGTAGCTATAGATTTCTGAATCTCCCCAGCGCATGGAAGTGATCTGGAAAATAGCATTTCCCACTTCTGGGAACTAAAGTGCCTTAAGAAAGGCCCCAGAGCAGAGCAGGCATCTTATCTACGTGAAGGGCTAAATAGCACTCTTTTTGTTTAATCAAATATTAATGCTTAACTATGGCTTGACTGTCTGCAGGAAACAGGCACCAACTGATTCTATTATAGTAAAGTCCCTCCTAAATCGTAAGTATATCTATTTGGGGAAAAGAGATGTATAAAAAAAAAAACAGAGTTTAGTTTGTTTCCCATTCCTAATAGTACTGCGTGTTCCAGGTCAGTCTGAAATGATTAACAGATCTGCCACATCAGCCTTCAGCACAGGCATGGAGTATCTGCTATCAGCCTTCAAACAAAGAAACAACAGACTTGTTGGAATAGCCAGTGTTTAACAGGTCACTGCACAGAAAAATGTCTCAAGCTGGATGAAAGGGAGAGGATTTGAGCAAACGCTGTCCTGGAACAAGAACCAGCAGTAGTGTCTTCTGCTTTGTTTGCATATTCTCTTTGCTGGCTGCAATTGCATGCAGCAGTGTCCTGTAAAGTTTGTGTCACAGTCATAACTGTTTTGCCCTTCAGTTCTCCCTTAAACAAAAGCCACAGAACAATGAAGTGGCGTCACTGTAGGGAAGTTGAACAGCCACACAGTGCTAAATGCTTTATTTCACTGTCCTATCACTAGCTCCTAGTTTGACTTGGCATTTACTGCATTACTGCACAAGGCTACAGCTCCTCTACACAGAGGAAGTGAGCACGCATCATGATCTGGGCAGGCTCTTAGTGAATATTCAGGAAAGGTTTGAACTAGGCATGGGTCACTGCACAGCGGCTTGCTAATGAAAGCAGAGCTCAGTAGGAAGAAGATCCTGTGCTTCACATACACAAATATGGGGGAGGGAGGGTGAGGGAAGGAAGGGGAAGGTAAAGAGACTGCCGACTTCCATCTCTGCCCAGAGCAGCTAGGCAGAAACTAGGAGAAGTGCAGGGAGGACCAGAGAGCAACCTGCAGGTGCACCCTGATCTCCTCCCAGCTTGGTGCAGAACAGGGCTGAGCCCAGAACAGCAGTAACACACAAACACCTGTGCAGGTTGGGATCCTTACCCAGCTGCAATTCCAAGAAATGATGGACCTCCATACACTGCCTTTAGCTTGACCTTATCTAACAAGCCCCTTCCCCAGGTTCAGGAGTGAGACACTTTAAAAGTTTTACTCACCAGGGAGATTTCACCGGAAGAAATGCAAAAGAACTAGTAGACTTCTCACAGGCTTTTATTGTTTCATTTAGGAGCATCTACTGAGAACTTCCTTCCCTGCTGAATCACTCTCCATCCATCCATCTGCAGCCACCTTCCGCTGCTGGTACTTCCTCTTGTTCTTCCCTCCCTCTTTCCTCTTAACTGTTCTGAGCCCAGTTTTTTATTTGCATGCTCTCCTCCAGGTTCCAAGGACAGAGTACAATCTCTTCTTTAATGCTGCTCGGTTGGTTTGTCCCTGATAGCTCTGCAGTTTCTCCCACCTCCAGAGTCACCTGCTATACTCTCTCCTCCAAAGCAAAGCAGCCACAGCTCTAGTTGAAATCCTGGCTTAAAATGCTTGCTAGAAAAACATAGAACTGCCAGGCATAGCAATAATCCACTGCTATCAAGGACTACACGCTGCAAGTCCCCCAGGCTTTAACTGCCCGAGATCTTTATTAAATCCTTTTCTAAGATCCTGTCTTCCTTGCAGAAGCTGCTGTGTCACAAAATGCAGCTGTACTATGGTGGTGCCCCAGCATAATGAAAATACCACGCTTACTTTTTCTTGTGCTAAAGAAAACACCACACCATCCAACCAGAAATGGACCACTGACCTGGTACCACTTAGCCTGGGATTCAGTCAGGATGGTCACAGTCATGTTGTTTTGGGATTTTGCCCATTCTATTTTCACTCACCTGAACCAGCCCCACGACATTATTCCCCCCCCCGGCACCAGGCAGCACGGTATCTCCTTCCCTTTCTCCCTTTGAGGACAGCTCTGAACAGTGCAGGGTGTGCTCAGAAGGCACAGGCTGTGGGTTTTCTGCCATGACAAAGCCTCTAGCCCGAATCGCCTGCCAAGCCTTTCTGAGCTCTGTCACTCTGAGATGTTTTGGTGATACCACATTCACCTCACCCACCTCCAAAGCATTAATGACCTCACCCAAATTCTCACACTGCCCTGCTACTTCACACCAAACACCCCAGCTACCAAAACTTGCTCGTTCTCAGCTTCCTCCACGCACAACTGAGCCCAGCACACCCCGAGCAGCTCTGTCCATCTCAATCCTATTTGTAGGAATGGAGCTGTCAGCCTGCCCACAGAGCCGCCCTCCGCAGGGCCAATCAGGCCGAGGCCAGCAGGACAGCCGACCTGTGCCTTTCTCAACTGCAAATACCAGGGGTTCAGGCTGTTCCTGAAGCCCAGCACCACCCAACTGATCACATCTGAAAGAGCCTTGAGAGCAAAGCTGCGTCAGAGGGGGGCACAGGTGCCAAAAATGCTGCTTGACCCCTTAGGATTGTTTGCTTGTCTTTGGATTTTTTTCTTTATTCAAGTTTTTTTTATTTACACACATGGCAAATATGAATATCAGAGAGAATGAATAGCCTGCCTCTAGTCAGCAATGAGGGACTACCGTAATTATTGTTGTAATAATGGAATAGCCTGAACACAAGCGAATTCAGTATGAGAGATTTATCTTGGAACCAGTCCCTGGGCAGCCTAACCGCACCCGGTGTCAGCTTTATACAGAGGCTTGGGATCAGACCCAGGATGACAGAACGATTTCTGTGACCATCCTGCAACACAGCAATGGCCGTGAGCTGTTGGTTACTGCCGATGAAACATTCCCATTTGTTCCCCAGCAGTATTTTGACAGGTGTTCTCAGCAACAGCTGTTTGAAACTCTCTAAGTCCCTTTCCCGTCATGCAAGGAGAGAGCTTTGTGAAGGCACGCTATTTTGCTTAACCATAATAATGTGCCACTTAAAGAGGAGGCAACTTCTGGGAGGGGTATTAAGACAATTTAGTTGTGGGATTCAATGGGATTTGCTAAAGCTGCTGTGCTAATGGCATGCTGTGCTTGGCTGAGATGCCAGGGAGAAGGTGGTGCTCTGCAAGTTGCTCTCCTGGTATTTGAGCAGCAGTTCCTTATACCATCCAGACTCTGCTTCACTGACATCAGAACCCTGTACCCATCTGGTACGCCCAAATGCCCCACAAAATTACATCCTTTCTTATCCCAAACTGTGATGCTCCAAGTTCAAGTGTTCTGGGACGATGAGAGAGGCACAATGGGAGGCCAAGGCCTTGGTCCAGCAATCTCAGAGATGCTTGTCACAAGGAATTATGTGGGCTCTGCAAACAGATGAAGAAAACCAGAAAGAGCAAACACTGGTCTGCACAACCTTGACACTGCAATCAATGCTGTCATTTGCCACCAGGAGCAAGTAAACAGCCCCAGCATTGCACTGCATAGCAAACATTGCAGCTTTATCTGGATGACAGGCAGCAATTTGTGGTAAAGGTAAATCTTTCTGTTCACTCATGCTTGACATATGGATGGTCTTGCTACATTCCCTGATCTCAGTGGGATTACGCGTGAATTTAAGGTTAAGTACATGCATGCCTGTAGGAGCACAACCTTCATTTAATATTGTGTGACCCAGCAGACCCGTAATTAATCCCTAACATGTTCAGGTGACAGAGCTCACTCGGTGCTGTCATCCACACAGAAATGAGACGTGCACGTTCATACATTCAGGCTGGCATTCAGACAGATTTTCCAGCCATTGAAGCAATGAGGTTTCGAGAGCCGCTCAGAGGCTGCTTCCTAGCAGCATAAATGGGACAGTGGCAGTTTGTGCCATGTAACAGGCAGGGGAAGGAGGTGTGATACCAGCACCTGCTCACACAGCTGCCTCATGTTGGGATGGGAACCTTCCCTTCTACCTGACCGACATTGTATGCCATAGTCATTGAAGCTGTTCAGAGGCTGATCAAACCCAGGGGAATAACACCACCATCTTCATCCCAAGCACTTTGCAAAAGTGAAATGTGGGCAAAACCAATTCCAGATTTGCTCTTCCTTCTCTGCCTTGCTGGATTTCAGACAAACCTCCTCACACAGGCTGAGTGCTGCCTATGTCAGACAGGGGAGAGTTACTGGGAGCAATTTCCAAATCATGGGTATTGAACCTTCTTATCTAGCTGCTTTGTCAGCAAACATGAGCATGCATGTTTTGAATGGATCACACAGGCAGCACAATAGGCTGGGTATGTTTTAAATAAGTTTAATGGAGTTTAATATTCATTCACCAACAGTACAAAATGAGACTTTTCAGCTATACAAGGGCCAGAAGCAGGTCAAACACAAACGTGGAGTAGCATTGCTTAGGAACAGTTATGCTGAACACCAAAGTAAGTGGATAAGTGGGACACAACCAACAACTTGTCTCAGGAGGGAAAGGACAAAGCTAGCCCAGACCCTACAGAAATACACATAACCACCTCATAATCCTATTTCTTTAAAAGCTGCATTTGCTGAAGTGCCTCCAGACAGATCCCACTGCATGTTCATCCTGCTTTTTTTTTTTTTTTTAATTTAATCATCTTCTACTTAAAAATCAGCAGCCCATGTGCCAGATTGGTATGATGCACGGGAAAAGATGTACTTTCTTTACTGATTCAGTTATAAGGAATTTATGAAGCAGCTCTTCCCTCCGTCCTCTTGGCCAGCTGAAGTGCCGGCTGCGCCTGCTGCCAGCATACCTGCATCCAATTTTGCCCTCTGGTGGAACCCCAGAATTTTGCATCCCAGCAAAGACTGGCTGCCAGGAAAGCCTGGCAAGTGCAGAGAACACATCCTGCCAGCAGCTAACTTGCCATTCGGGAATGCCCTGGGGGTGAACCCAGTGGTGATGCAGACTCGGGTGCCTACAAGGTGACCCACTGAGCTCAGAGGCTGCTTCTCATGGCTGAAGAACGCTGGAGAGAAGGGAAAATAAAGGGAGTCCTGTCAGCAAAGTCACAGACTCAGTGACGTTTACAAAGGGTCGCCTGCTAAAAATGGGGTGTTGTGACAAATCAGCAGGAAAAAAAAGAAGAGAGACAAAGAGAGAAAAAGAGAGAGAGGAAACTGCCCTGCAGTGTGCCCATGATGAACCATGCCCAGTCAGAGCCTTGGGACTTCTGCTTCCGAGGCAGACCTGGACTTCCTCCTGCTGCTCAGGCTGCCCAGCATTGACTCCTCACTGAAGGCCCCCTCAAAGGTCGACAAGATGGACTGGCAAAACTTCTCCTTGAAATCTGGCCCCACAAAGACGTAAAGGATGGGGTTTATACAGCTGTTGAAGAAAGCGAGGCTGGAAACCAAGGGGATTCCTATGTAGAGGGCCATTTTCATCTCGTGACTGGAAGAGTTTTGAGATATTTCTAGCAAGGAGAAGACGTGATAGGGGAAATAACAGAGGAAGAATGAGACTGTGACGGCAATGATAATTCTGTACGGCTTTGCAGAGCTGGCTAGTTGCCTTCTTTTCAGCTTGACAGCAACAACGCTGTAGCAGATGAGAATCACTGTGAAGGGGATGAGGAACCCACATAAGAACCGCGTTACGATCATCGCTTTGTGCCGCATCCTCCACAGCCTCCGTGTCTCCTCGGCCGTGTAGTCATCAGACAGCGCGAAGTTGTTGTAGCAGCTGGTGATGTTATGGGAACTGACCGCAGTGTCACGAAAAATGAGGTACGGGGAGCTGAGCAGGACAGCCACCCCCCACGTCCCCAGCGCCACCCTGGCCGCCAGCTCCGGGCTCCTGCGGTTGTGGGACCACACGGGGAAGGCCACGGCCACGCAGCGGTCCACGCTGATGACCATCAGGAGGAAGACGCTGGCGAACATGTTGAGGAAGGCGATGGTGCTGTTCAGCTTGCACAGCAGCTTCCCGAAGGGCCAGTGGAAGTCCAGAGCGGTGTAGATGATGCTGAGGGGCAGGAAAAAGGTGAAGATGAAGTCAGCGATGGCCAGGTTGAGGAACCACACTGAGTTCACTGTCTTCTTCATCTTGAAGCCTGCAATCCAGATGACGAGGCCGTTCCCTGTCACCCCCAGCACACAAGCAATGCTGTACACCACCATGGAGAGGACATGCAGGCTCTTCTGGAGGCCAGAATAGTGGTCGTGGACTGTGGCATTCCCAGAGGGCATGGAGGGGGAGCTGTCAGGGAAGGGTGATGGAGAAGAAGAGACGGTCTCCATTGCCAGCAAGCTGGGGTCCTGAAATCATAACAGCACACGCTGCTATTACCTGCAGCTCCCTTAGCTTTGGGGAGAATCTTTGACTGCAACCATACACAAAATGGACGCAAAGATGAAATCTGCACTTAAAATGACTTAATAACGAACATACTTCTCTATAGAACATCTCAAGTTTCAGAATGGTAGATAAATAGTTGTGAGGCACAAGGAATTTAAGCCACTTGAGCAAGTGAACCGATACAGAGGGAGGAAGAGAGTCCGAAAGTTTTGAGTTGATCTGATCTTGTCATGAAAGGGTGATGCCAGCAGGAAGGGGAGACGTTTGAGCAGAGGCTCAGCCATCATGGGGACAACTCAGAGTCCCAGTGCTGCAAGCTTTTGCAGACAGGGACCAACCAAGACTAAAAGAATTACTTATCTCTTGGCAAGTCCCTGGATGCCCACAGAGATTGTCACCCACACTGACAGCCAGCCCACTAACGCTGAGAGGTGGAAAATAAATGATATCAAACATCTTTTTGCTTACAGCTCTTTCCACACCACAGGGCCCAGGAGGCTGCGGGCAGAGGGTTGGCATCTGCCCTGCCTCCCTGTCACCCTGTGACCCGAGACACCAGCCCAGGCTCTGCCGCTGGCATTGGCAGTGTCAGAACAACTCATCCACAAGCAGTCTGTGACAGCAGCCGGCCATGGGCTGAGAGCAGAACTACAAAAACCCAACTTGCACAGCTGTGGCCAAGCTCTTCGGTGATGGAAGACAAATTAGCAGAGCTAAAAACTGTTAGAATTCTGAAGTTAAAAGATTGTTCCTTCAGCAGCTATCAAAGTATCATAGAATTATTAAGATAGAAAAGATCTCCCAAGATCAAGTCCAATTCCAACCCCAACCCACCCCACCGTGCCCACTGCCCACAGCCCTCAGTGCCACCTCTCCACATTCTGGAGCACCTCCAGGGACGGTGGCCCCACCACTCCCTGGGCAGCAGTGCCAGT